TTAATTCTAGATCTTGGTTGATGTCATAAACCTTTACTACGGGTTCTTCACAAAGGTTTCTTTTTAGCAATTCAAATGCCTGTTGATGCTCTTTCCTCCATTCGAATGTAACTCCTTTCTTTCTTAAATTGTTTAAAGGTAAAAAATTTTCAGCATATTTATCAATTTGTCGACATAAAAGTTTATTAATCCTATAAATGTCTCGCGTTCCTTTTTATCATTAGGAGGATTTATTCCGAGTATTTTGCTGACTGAATTACGATCTGGGGTAACTCCCTTTTCTGACAGTTCATATCTTAAAAATGAAAGGCTTTTTGTTTCATTCACTGACTTTCGTTTATTTATGCTCATTCCCGTTTCCTTCAATTTGCTCAATATTTTATTCAACTTCGATTTGAGTTCTTCAGCATTTTTAGCACCGACACATACATCATCTTGAAATATAATCATATTGGGAATAATATCGCTAACAACAGATTCAATCGCTCTTTGAAATATCGCACTTGCAGTTTTTATTCCGAAAGGTAAACAAGTTCATCTTAATAATCCAATAGGGGTATTAACAGTCGTTATTTCTTGTGCCTCTTTGTCCATCTCAGTTTGATGATAAGCTCCCTTGAGATCAATAGCAAAATATTTCATCCCTGCCATTTTATGAAATACGGTCTCAATGTTTGGGATAGGATATGAGTCTGAGCATATTTTTTGGTTAACACCTATTTTGTAATCTGCACAAATGAGTAAATCTCCGTCTTTTTTTCTAACAACCACAAGCGGTGAAGCCCATCTGCTTCCACCAGGAGGAACCCTTTGAAGCAACCGTTGCTGTATCATTCCATTAAGTTTATCTACCACTAGTGGTCTTATGTGAATAGGAAGAGGTCGAGATTCAAAATAAGTTAATTGTATGCCGTTTTTTAACAGAATATTTGCTTTGTAATTAATTAAACGCCCCTGAACAATAGGTTCCATAGTATAAACTAATTTTGTGGCGTTGATATTTAATACAAATTAAACCATGATTTTTTGTACAGTCTGCAACAATAATTCGTACGATATTCATTTTTGATTCGGTTTCCAAAGTTGCCTCAAATTCACCTAGGACTTTTATAACTGTACCATCAAACTGTTTCAGGCGAAGGTAGCATTTTTGTAATTTCGGTTTAGACATTAGTTTCCAAAAATTCTTTGGAATTATTGTGACTTGATTTCCGGTGTCAACTTGCATTTTTATATTGTAGTCATTAATTTTTACACTAATCTCTGAGTTTGTATCATTCATGTTAATGGAATACACACTAGCATCATCGTTTTCTATTTCCTCTACTATTTTTTCATATTTAATGTTTGCTTTGCATACGTTTTTAAAGTGGTTCAACTTCCCACATTTTTTACAACTCTTCCCAAATGCTGGCCATTTCCTAGGTGGGTGTTGAAGGCCACAATACTTGCATTTAATCGTTCTTTCTTTATTTTTATCAATGTAATTAACTGAAGGAAGGTCTATGCTGTTTTCAATGTTGTTTTGTATACTAAAACAGGATATTTGCTCCAGTTGCCTGATAAAATCAATACATGCTCCTAGTTTAGGCAATTCTCCACTCTGTATCATTTTTAGAGCTTTAACTCTCTGATCAAAAGATTGGAGGCCATCAATCAATCTCATTTGAATCAAATTATCTTCCGCGCTTTGGCCGTTTCTTCCCAATTTTTCGAAGTTGCAAAAGCGTGAAGCTTCGCGTAATCTTTGTGCAAATGATACGATGTTTTCATTGTTTTGCTGTTTTAATGCTAAAAATCGAACTCTTTCAGCAATAATTACTCGTTTTTGAGACCTCAAATGGGACATAACAACAGTTTTAATATCATCGAACATCATATTTTCTAATTTTTCTGGATATACCATAAGTGAAATCTTTTTAATTGCTTCAATGCCTGCTTTTGCCATAAATAAATCTGTTATCTCGTAGCTACCGTTTATCTCATCTTTTAATTTCTTTGAACGTGCGGATGCTGAAAAGCATCTAATCCATGCTTCTGCATTGTCTGGATCATCTAAAGTCAAATCGGATCCTACTCACAGTGCCATTGTTGTGTTGTTAATAAAACACTGTACTATATTTAAATTTATATATTCTTATAAGTAAGCCATCTTTATTATACATTTTAATATAGCCACGTATGTATATACCCGGTGGGAAATCGGCTAGCGAATAGCTAGCTGTAATCGTAACTATAAAGACAGCGATTTGGCCACGAGGATCGGCAGCTTTTTTAAGTTAGCGAAAAGCTATCGATATTTGTAAAGACAAAGACAGCAATTTGGCTACGAAGACAGTTAGCTTAATAAGCTTAAGACCCACAGGCTTTTGTAGCTAGCGTCATATCGTAATAAAATCGCAGTCTAAAAAATTTTAATATGCAGCTATCAACCTACTATAGATTTGTAGATATTTTGTAGCTAGCTACAAAGCTACGATATGTAGCTAGCGATACATTGCTACAAAATCGCCAAGTTTAAAATTTAATTATTTGCATAATTATAATAGAGTCAACACTAAAAATCGAATTTTTAAAGATGTTAAAGACATTAGGAAAAAAAACAATAAGAAAAAAAAATCGCTACAAATCGCTATAAAGCTAGCTAATCGCTCGCTAGTCGTTAGTTCATTTCCCAACGGGTATATATAAAAACATTGTTCCTATTTGTCCGCATATGACAAAGGTTCACGGCTTCACACCTCCTAAAACATAACTGTCATTACATTCTTTTACTTTCTCCTCATCTATGTGACCTTATTTCATGGCTCTAAGAGTTTTTCTTCTTTTTTTTTCCTTCTCTGATGACTTACACCTCATTTGACTAATCCTTTTTTTATTTTTAGAAGTCGCTGAAATATTTGACACCTTAGCATGTAAACCAAAATGTCTTAAGACACTAATAACACACTTTGCACCATCATTGTATGCTAAAATAGCTGATTATGTTGGTAAATATATCTATATCAATTCATTTGTCACTACAAACATCAGTTTCAACACCATTCAAAAAGTTATGAACTCGTATTTGCCATGAGCCAGCAATAAAAATTATAACTTCCTTCATTTCAAGAGAGTTGTTTATTGATTTAGTTTCAAAAGAAGCTTTTTGCATACTTTTCTCAGCAGCAATTTTGTGTACTAACATTTTTTTTTTATTTTATTAAAGCCATTAGGTGACAAACAGCAAAGATTCATACAGAAGGAAAAAGTTTTCATCGACTCATGACCAGCACCTATTTCTTGCAATCAAATGACAGCTCGCAGGTTGATCTCATATGGTGATTCTACAGATGAAAGTTCTTTTTTAACAGTATCAATAGGAAACTTTTTTGTGTTTAAAAAATTCTTTGACTTTAGTGAAGTTCTACAATTTTTAGAAAAGTTACACTTTGTACACTTTATCTCAAGTAAATGACAAAAGCCCATGCGAGAATCAACGTTATCTTTGATTAACAAATTTCCAATAAAGCAATTGGGGCAAATAGTGTGTGCAATTAATTTCTTTAACAATAAAAAGTTAATAAGTATAAAATAGTCGTCAGATTCACATTTATCCGAGCTGAACGATACATCTAACTTTCTTGAGCTAGCACAAGAAATCTCATGATCAGCATGTTTTGATTTGAGAATATCAGGTGGTTTAAACCCATTCCATTTTCTGCTCTTCTTTCTAGTACTGTTTTGTTTATTTAGCATTTCTTTTATTTATTTTAAATATGCATATATAATATAAATCTAAAAGGTAAACAAACTATAACACTCCAAATCTTTCAAATCTGTTAACTATTACAAAACGTGTTTAGTGGTTAAGAACAATGACTTTTAATTAAATTTCAATTTGGAAAACATAGAGCTTATAAAGCTTGAAGACTGCAGTTAAATTGAGGGAGAAAATTCCCTAACAACCATGTTAAATATTTAGTATCTCCGTTGCTTAGGAAAAAAAGATACATAGTGTTCTAATAAAATGCTCATATCTAAAGAAAGATAAATTAATTTGCTCTGAAATTTTGGCTTAACGTTCTTTGAATAATTTGACACATATTTTATGCAAAATTGAAAAACTCAAAAAAAAATTTAATTTCCTAGTTTTTTTGGTGTTGTACCACCTTAATATATAAATATATTAAATATTTGTTAGTTTTGCATAATGATTAATTAGCGTTGATTTGACGTTAATTTATTTAAGTCGTCGTGCGATTATATGATAACAACCTTTAGTGTGCTAATGTTTGGTTTAAAAAAGCGACTCTTATTACACTTGTATTGGAAAAGTTGAAATTTGCTATACATTTTTAAAATGCACGCTGTTTTTTTTAATTATTACTATTATTATTATTATTATTATTATTAAATTTTTCTTTATTAATTTATTTTAATTTTATCAATTTTTAATATAATTTTTTTTAATATTTTTGACTTGATGTAAAAGTATATTGTTAACCGAAATTTAAAAATGAAAAATCCATTTACTGAGATCGATACCAAAGCCGAGAATATGACGTTGGATATTGTAAATACTTATTACCTGCACAAGGATAAAAAGTTTTGCAGTTAATGGAAATCCTTGTAAAAAAAAAAAAACTCATCAAATGACAAGTGTGAAGACTAGCATTCCTGGTCTCAGCTTCTGAGAAGTAACAAATATTGATTGCATTCAAAAGCATAAGAAAATATATACTTATAAAAATCCTACATATTTTTTATAGGTTTGGAGAAACATTTATAATACTTAAGAGTTCCTTTAGTTTAAAAAAGGTTTATTCTTCAAATTAAAAAAAAGAATGAAGGGGAATTAGGACGATGATTGAAGAATTTTTTTCCACGAAATTTAAATTCGTCCGAAGTAAAAATTAAAAATTATAAAATTTGCTCCTAATGACGACAACATTCATGATTTTTCTTTTTATTAATTTTTATTAAACTTCATACTAATGTTTAATTTTTTTGTTATTTAGAGTCATTTACCTACGTACGATGAGTTAAACAATGATGAAGAGTTTCTAAATGAATGTGAAAAAAATAAGTTACTTGCATTAAATACTATTGATGTCAATAATTGTGGTTTTCAAAAAAAGCCTAATCGTCTACTTTTCGATGCTTTAATAGCGTTAGGAGGAAGTATTGAAAAAAACAAAGAAATAGAAGAACCGTGTTTTATCAATATAAACGATAATCTAAAGAACGCCATTATGAATCATAGAAAAAAATATAAAGACTGTATTTTGTGCATTGAAAAGAACGAGTTTTGATAGTCACCATTTTTATTATTAACAATTAATAAAAACGTGTCCCGTGGCAAATGCCCCCCTCTTCCCCCATTTTTTTATCACCACAGAATATTTGAACCGGGGCAAACTTTCTCATTGGAAAGCTTATTCAAAAATTCACTTTCCGGGGCATGCATTATTTTTTTGCCCAAAATAAATACTGTTTAAAAAATTTTTTTTCTAGACTATTGTTTTTTAATAACGAATTTGTAATTATTGTTATGAAATTTTATTTATTTCATTATATAATATTAAAACATAATGCTGTCGCTCATCACGTTGGTGTTTATCCTTTGCTTTTAATTCAGCTAAGATCATTTCATGTTTAGAAATGATTTGGTATTTCTTTTAGAAGTTTTTGCTCTAAAGTTTTAGGTTTGCATGAAAACTGAGAAAAGGGTTTATTCTTCAAATTTAAAAAAAAAGTGGAAAGGGGGATTATGATTGGAGAAGTTTTTCTACAATTTTTATTCGTCCGAAGAAAAATTTTATTGCGGCGAAAAAATTTTTTTTTGTAACATTGCACAATGGGTCAAAAAGTGTGGTTTATTAAACCTCCTTGGGTAAAACCATACAAGAAATTTCTGAAAATTTTTTAAACTTTGAAAATAACATTTATTTGCTCTCTATTTACTATTTAAATATTGTTTTATAATAATTATTTAAGTAATTCAATGTTTTTTTTTATCTTTTAAGTACTATCATGCAAATCTTTAAGTTAAAAATAATTGTTTTATATGCGTTTTAAATAAATTTTTATCACGATAAAAAAAAGTTAATTTTGATTGATGAAATAAAACGTTTTTTATAATACCAAACGCATCAATTATAACAAAAAACAACACTCTTAAAGTTATAAATCATTAAACGCTAGTATAATTATAGTGTATATATCCAGAGATGTAGTCAAGACAGTAAAGGCCAAGACCAAGACATTTAGGCTCAAGACCGAGACCAAGACTGAATGCTTCAAGACAAAGACCAAGACATTAAAAAATCAACCCAAGACCAAGACTTAAAAAGTTTTTACAAGACCGGGATCAAGAACTATGTTCAAAGAAGTCCAATAAAACCCATGCTCACTAATGTAAAGAGTAAACAGGTTCTATTTATTGACCAGCTTTACGCCCCTTCTTTATTTAGGCTAGTGTAAATGTATTTATAATATATTATAACGTATTAATACATTGTTTCCAGTTTAGAATATTGAATGCTGGATCTACTTGCTTGGGTTTTTGCTTGTGTCAAAAAAAATGTTTGAATGCTACTAGATCTTAGTTGGTGTGATATTTTAGCATTTATAAACGTTACCTTACAATAAAACGTAGTTACGCGTGTATGACAACTGCAGTCTACAAAAGATATATTTAATGAAAATAGAAAACTTTCAGTAATAATAACAACAATAAGAAACTAACTTTTTTTGTAATGTTAAAAACAAAAAGTACTAATAAAAAATATCTAAAAACAAATCTGTCACACAAGGAGCTCAACAAACCGTTAACCAGTGGAATGTGATACTTGACAGTTGAACTAAGTGTGTTAAGACACTTATGCAGGCCAACAATTGAAGGCACAACGCATCCTATTGTTAGATAGCTATCACCCTGTAACAAATCTGTAGCCTCTGCAAAAGGCTGAAGAATTTCTACTAGTTCACGCAACATTGCCATCTCACGTTGTGTCAAAATAAGATTACTATGGTCTCCTCTGAGCAAATCTGAAAGTTTTACAGGATCCAACCTGATAATACTGGACAGCTGAACAAACATGCTGTTCCACCTTGTAGCATTGGTTTTTGGTATAGAGCGTCATTTTCCAAACTTTGACTCAAAATTTCCACGGAAAAGCGTACTTTGTTGTGTTAAATTTGCCAGCTTTGAGGATTTGGCTAACAAACTGTTAGCTGTTTTCAGATGAGTTAGTCCATCTTTTACACACAGCTGCAAAGAATGCGCATAGCAGGCCAATCTTTCAGTTGCATGTAGCTCGATAGCTTCGTTCACAATGAGTTGATCTTCTTCATGCAGATCATTCCACATTTCTTCGTCATCAATTATAACAATATGTCTAGATTCATCTTCACTCTCATTAGCCTGTAATTCACTGAGCACATCAAAAGCTTTTTTTATATTTGAGGCGTTATCAGGCGTATAATACACCCTAGCTTTGTTCTGATTTGATTTTGCTCTATGATGTTATTTAGTTCATCTGCAATTAATTGACCATTATGCCTTCCTTTGACTGGACGAAAAGCCAAAAGAAAATTTTGGAGCTTGCCATCAGAAAAGTAGTGTCCCGCACAAGTAAGATATGAATGCATCCTTCTATCAGTCCATATATTAACAGTCATTGCTATATGCCCAATGGACTGAACTTGTTTCGAAATAAGTTCTCTTTTTTCTTTAACAGCCTCTGGTATTAATTGAGATGTTAGATGGCTTCGTGATGGTAGTACGTACTTGTTATTCATATCGCAGATAAATTTCCGAAAATTTGAATTCTCGACAAGAGATAATGGAAGTGAGCAACCAACAACAAGGTTTGCAACTAAGAAGTCTGTGATTTTGATTTGGTCAGGATGTTGCGATCCGTACGAACTATTCTGTTTTGTGAAGAATGTGTCAATAATTATTTGTTTGCAATTGAAATTAATATGTTTCTGTGCCACATACTCTGCGTGTTTTTCAGGGTGAACATTGCTATAATGTCTAAAATAAAAAAATTAAAAAGTTGAAAGGTATAATTTAAATAGACAAAATACTTATTGCTTTCTAAAAACATCGATATATTTGAACATTTTTTTTTTGTTTTTTATTTTTAATTGTTAATCTAAGAAAATGGGTCCTAACAAATGAGAGGGTCGGCATATTAAAAAACCTCAAATTTAGAAACAGATGAAAACAAAAACAAAAAAGGTAGATATACTTAGAAGAACAAAGTAATTTTTTTTTTCAATAAACAATATATTGTTAATCTTTAAAGAAGAACCGAAACAATAAAGATTCTTTAGTATTTCTGTCGAATTCTTTCAAACTAAAGCACTTTTACGTAATGAAATAGTTCTCTTTTAAAAAACGTTTAAAAGAAAACTATTTCATTTTGTTAAAAAACGGAAAGAAGAATTTATTTCTTAAAGTAAAAATACTGCAATGACGTTCTTTCTAAATTATAAATTTAACCCGTTTGTTAACTTTTCCTTACAACTTTATTAACATGAGTGCTGCCTAAAATTTTTTTAAAACTTTTTCTGTTTTTGTTTTTTTGTTTGTTTGTTTTTGATTTTTTTTTTCATAATTATTATCAAACTTAAAAAAAAAAGTTACCATGATTAACAATTACTTAAGAAAAACTTAAAAGTGTATCATACAAAAACAGTTTTTAAAATTATCAAAATAGGATAGCACCACCTTAAGAAGATAAAGGCATTATTGCAATATGGCATACCAAGCAGCAAATACTAACATACCTTGTGTAGCTATAAGTTGTACCTTTAGTTTCAGTTATTGGTTCTTTACAAATATTACACTTAGTATGAGTTTTGAACTTAACTTCGTCTTTAATTACTTGATGACTTGAAGACACGAAAATCACAATAACCAAATTTATTAATTGCGGAAAATTTATTAGCCATTTTGACAGTTTAACAAAGGTATGTTTAAAGGAAAAAACTTTTTCTAGATACAACTCGTCGCATTGTTTGACAAGGTTCAAAGTAATTGTTTTTTTATATAAGGAGAATAGCAAATAAAACTTTTTTTTCTTTTTTTTAATGTCTAAATACAAATTTTTATGGACTGATTTTTTACTTATTTATGCATTTTTAAACATTGATCACTAAAAGAATACATAAACAAATAAAAAAAAAAATAATATAAATTATTTAAATTAAACATTTTTAAAAAAAATCTAAAAGAGTTTTTCTTAATTCTCCTAACATAAATTTAGAAATTTGTCAAACCAACGCGACGAGCTACCGTTAAGAGCGGGAAATTGCTTTTACTCAATAATTGGTCAGCTTTACGTGAATAAAAACTTTAAAAGTTTTCCTCAAATTTTATTCAAGTAAAGTTAAGTAATTTACTCAGTAATTACTCAGCTTTACGTTAATAAAAACTTTGACAAGATTGCTGAAGTTTTTATTCACGTTAAGCTGACCAATTACTTAGTAAAAGCAATTGCTTCTTTTTATTCACCCGGCCTATTGAGTTGATATTTTTCGTAAGAGCCAAGAAAGTAAAAGTCAGTAGAGGTCCAAGACCAAGACCAAGACTCTAGACTTCAAGACCAATACCAAGACCAAGACAGTGAAATATGTGTCTCGAGACCAAGACTTTGGTCTCGAGACCTACATCTCTGTATATAGCTAGTATATTATAGTAAAATATATTGATTTTGTAGTTAAAAAATTGACTTCTTATAACTTCCTATAATGGTTACATTTTTAGATTCAATTTAACGTTCCTAGTTTAAAATATTTACTCCATAAACATTTTGATTGCTTCGAAACCATAAATAAATTTTTTGACACTGTAATTAAAAATGCGAGCTGAATTTTGAATTTAAATTCAAAATTCAGCTAAATATTTAGGTCTTCTTATAGTTAACAAAGAGAAGGCAATTTTGATTCAAAATTCTTATTTGGCATTTATTTATTAACTTGCTGATTGTTCAGCGCTTTTATCAACACAGGAGATGTCTGGGATCTTACGCGTGCTGAAAACCCTTGTGCAGTTTAAAATTATATTAATATAAATAATATTTCTTGGGTACAAGCAAATTTTTTAAAAATTAATTTTTAATTTTTTTTTTTTAAATCGGTTTTAAGAAAAAGTTTTTCTTAAAACCAATTATATTTTTCCTGCAGAATAAATTTATAATAAATGAACCTTTTCTAATAGAAAAATATTAGTTTTTTATATAAAATGATACACTTTTTTGAGAAAATTTGCTAAGAAATCTCACCTTTGATTCATATTGCATTAGCAGATGTTCTATTCAATTTTAAAATTTGAAGACTTTTTTCAAACAGCCAATTTTCTCTTTGAACAATAATTAACGTTTAGATTTTTTTCCTAATTGTATGCTATATACATTGAATTATTCAGTTTAAATCGTATTTATATGTAATGTAATTTTGGATTAGAAAAATATACTATATAATTTTGGAATTAAACTATATTTATTTAAAAAAATCAAATTGTGTTAATAAATTGCAGTTTGTTTTAACATTTAAATTGATTTCCAAGTTAACAAAATTAACATAAGTCATAAATTCACTATTATTGTTTGATTAAAAAAATGTTATTGATTCAAAAAAAATGTTATTGATTCTATTTGAGAAACCTTTCGGCGAAAAAAAATTATCAATATTTGAAATTTTAATCTTATATTTGATATTTTAATCTCTAATAATTTTCAATATTTGATATTTTAATCTTATTGTGATTATTAAATGTTTCAAACGATAATTTTTAGTTAAAAAAAACATTAAGACATAAAATATTAGAAGAAGAATTGCAGAAGAAATCATGAGAACTTATAAACGTAAACCATGTAATTGTTACTATGCATTGTATCTAGCAGAAGCCATGCAAAATGCCTTGTTAGATATCTCAACTAACAGAATATAAATTTTTAAGACACCCAAGTTATATGGTATACCATATTATTTATTATTTTTTTTTTTATTATTATTATTATTTATTATTATTATTATAGTTGTAGCCGTAAATTTACATAGAATGTACACATACAGCGAGCAGGGTAAACACCCCACTATAAACAACCAGTTTTATAAATATTTGTTCCAAACTTTTTCCAATGGTACTCTGTACAACAATAGTAAACTAAAACATATGAACATAATATATATGCAGCGCTCAAAATAACGGCCAATCAACAATCAATGATCTGCTAGTTTTAGAGAAATTTTGAAAAATTCAAGGGAAAATAACCTGTTTTTGTTAAAAAATTACATTTGATCGAAAAGCTTTGAAAAACTATTTTGAGCGCTGTATATGTACCCAAATACAAGTGGTTATCCCAACGAATGTAATGACAAGAAAAATGTTTATTTGAATAAGTCTAATCAAGAAGAACCTGATGTTAATAATTTTCTAACTACAGGGAGTTGGCCTGTTGTTGTCTACCCAGGAAAAACTAAAAAATGTGTGAAATTGAATTACATTGGACAGATTGTTGAGGTTTTACCAACGCTCTAAATTCTTTATATGAGATTCCTAAGGAAAGTAGAAATATCCAAAAATCTGTTTAATTATCTTGTTGCAGAATACATTAACAGAAAATATTAATGAAATTTGTTAAGTGAATCAGATACGCTATCTGAAGATGTCAGAAATGTTCACTAAATAATTGAACTCAGAATATTTCATTTAAGAAAATTAACACTCTGTCTTTCAAAAATTTACTAATTAATGCCTTGCAGCAGTTTAGAGGTACTTTACAGAACAACTAATTCCTATTCCGGTTTTAACACCATTTGTTGTAAAATCTTCAGAAAATGAGATTTTTAGGTTTTTTTGTTTTGGTATCTTTTTATTATATTAAATGGAGTTAAACAAGTAAAGTACATTAGTACTCAGGGGCCTCGGAAGGTTTTTAAATGTTTGAAATAACCAACTTATAATTATAAAACAACAAGAATATTCCAAATTTTTTTACGTTCATATGTATGACGAAAAGATTCTTTTAAACTGTGATAGGAGAATGGGAACAAGAAACTCTAAAATCTTAGCCCCCCCTGTCCCAAATTTTTTATAGTCATAATTTTTGAACACTAAAATATTTTACTATGAAATTTAAAATTTCTCGATAAATATCAGTCTAGTTGAAAATAGTGCATAAAATATTTCATCAACTTGTTGCTAATTTTATAACTGCTAATTACAATTACTCTAATGATGCTATTGATATATTATATTGTTATGCTAACATATTAACACCAAATTTTTTTTTTGTTTTTTTTTGTTCATTCTGTGGATATATTCGATAACCAATCTTGTTGTCTAAATTTATAACTTTACCTATTAAATCTTAAAAATATATGCATATTGTGTTTTAATTTAGTAAACTCTAAAAAAAAGTATTAATGGCACTTGTGAAGATGGTGTAATTAATAAGCTTTTAAGAAATAATAAACTATCAAAGTCACCCCCAACGAAGGATTGAGATTGATAACATTTTTGACTTAAAAATATTTATATTAAAACCAAAAAAAAATTATATTTAATGGAATTCTATAAAGGAAAGGTATGTTATATCGAAAAAATAAAATTCAAAAAAAAATTTCTACGTAAGAATTTATTTGAAAAAATGCTCAAAAACCTATCAAAATAACTCCACACTTTTGTTTAGGAGTTATAGCTGCACACCGGTGTTGAGGAAAACTCCACACTTTCCGCGAGAGTGTATGTATAGTATTATGTTCTATTATGAACTGTGTTGCTGCTATTTTAACGATCATAAATCGAATTCCTAAATCTTCGTTCTAGAAATTAAAATTAATGGTCTATTAATCAATTGATCTTTTATATAAGGTAAACCCCCTAAAGTATGTCTATTTTTGCTAACACAAGCAAGACGGGATGAAAGCAGATCGAAATTCATATATATTTTTTTTATGAAATTATACCAGACATGAGTCACCGAAATGTAAATAAAATTGTCGAGTTGCTATTATAGAAAAAAGTAGAAAATCGAATTAATTAATTATGGTATTGAATGAAATTTCAAGGGGAGCTAATGAATTTTCAAGGGGGCTAGATTAGCGTAAAAGGGGCATCCTGCCCCCGTTTTACCCAATACTCTACGCCTATATCGAAAAAATATTTTTTTTGATAACTCTATGAAGATACCTATTGTTTATTGAAACTTTTTAAATAAAGCAATAATTCTTTATTCTAAACTTGTTATTTTTTCAAACAGTTAAATTATAAACTGTCAAACACAAATATATTTTTAAAAATTGTTATGACACAAACTTGCACATTAGGGTATATCATACTCAATACTCAAACTCAATAATAATTATTATTATATCATGCATGTTCTACTTTTGATTCAGTACATCACTTTTCCGATGTATTTAAAAAGCCTAAGTTGAATGGTATTATTTTTTTTGCTGAAAAAACAGCTCTTGCTACCGGAAAAACGTTTTTTTTTTCTGAAAATATTGTGTTTTTTACCTAAATGTTGTCTATTTATGTTACAAATGTACATGATAGCTATTTATAATATTGATTAATCCTATGCTTTATTTATATAAAAAAATTCTACTATAGTAAAATGTTATTTGTTTTTCAAACTATTATTTTGTGTATAAGTGATAGTTAATATTTAAATATACCTTATAAAAATTGTAGACTTATTTTCATTTTAATTGTTATTATTCCTGCTATTTTGTTTTTCAGATTCATAATATATTTAAAATAGAAAAATGATGAAAACCAGAAAATCCATCAACACTAAGCTTAGTGAATATCTTGGAGGTCAAAGAAAGTTTCTTCAAACTGAATTTCCAACATTACGTCATTGTTTGCAGCGATACAATCACGTGACATTAGCCACATTACGTCATTGTTTGCAGCGATGTCTTGATCTGCAAAGAGAAAAAATAGTTCATGAAAAAAAATCCACGTAATTTATCAATGCAAGAAATTTTTTCTAATGTTGCCCATGAAATTGCAGAACGATAGTTTATTTCAAACACAGAGTTTAGAGAGCCTATAGTTTGTGGTATTAAAGCTATAGAACTGAGATCAGTAGAGGTTGGTCTGCATTCTTTAAGATTGCTCGACACAAAGCCCAAAAGGCTAATAAAGAATACTGGGAATCTAAACTTGATAAACTTTTAGACATTGTTTTTTGCAAATGCAAAATGTAAAAAAACTACTGCGGTGAGAATGATGCCCCTTGCAAAAAATCTTGTAAAAATCGTGCTCATTGTCTATGCAAATGTGACTTAAATTTAAGAATTCCACAAAAAGAGCTTGTTTAAAACCCAGCATGAAAAGCAAGGTAGTGTTTCATCTATGCAAGAGTTTCGCCTAGATGTTAAAGGAACTAAAAAGCTAAGGTTCAAAAACTTTCGTAAGTCAATTGATCAAGCAAGGCTGAATCGACAACGAGAAGAGTCAGAGTTGTCAAAAATCTACTATTAGATTTGACGCTAACATTTTATTCATCTACTATTAGATTTGACGCTAAAAATATGGGTGTTGCAGCAGAAATGAATAATAATTCTAAAGTTGATATGGTCAGTGATAGCGATAAAGCCATTGATAGCGAAGAAGACTCAACATTAGAAAAACAAGAAAATTATCTTAAACGCAATTACCTTGATATTAGTAATGCTGCCATTGCCTCTGTCAGATTTGGTATGTCATGGACTGCTACTGCTGCTATCATTAATGGTCTTCTGAAAAATATCATGAAGGCAGGAAAACTTGTTGAAGATAAAAATAATCTCATTTTTGACAGCATGAAAGTTTTTCGTGCCAAAGAGCGTGTTATGAAGTGTTCTAGAGTAGAAAAAAGTATAGACTGTGAAAGAAATATAATCACCAGAATTTTTGTTAATGGCAGAAAAGACAAAACTTTAATCCTTATGCACGATAAAATCACAGGTACCTTCAGAAAAAAAATTATTCAAGAATACTATATAACTGTGACAGAGGAGCCTAGAGGTCGCTATCTTATTCATTATACACTAGAGCCTAAGTCTGAATTATGTAAACCAGCCAAACAATTTGCTATTCAATTATTCAACTGATTAAAAGAAAGAGGTAAAGATCTTAATCTCCAACTAATTGATAGTGACACTACAAATGAAATGTCTGGGTGGAAAGGTGGAATGCTTCATTTTGTGGAGGAACTTATCAATTAAAAACTTTTTAGATTATTTTGCTGGCTTCTCATTAATGAGCTTCCATTTCGTCATATTGTGGAAAAACTTGATGGGCCAACTTCTTCAGGAAAAGGTTGGTGTGGGGCAGTTGTCAAACTGTTTTCTAAAGTAAATAATCTTGAAAGAATTATTAAATTTACGCCAATTCCTCTTTTGTAGCCTTTAGTTAATAACAGTGAAGATTTTGTTAAGCAAATGAGCCGTGACAGTTTAGTTGCATGGAAGTATTTAAATGCAATATTAAAAGGAAACTCTTAAATGTGGTAGTTTGTCTCACAGTCGATGGCTTACTTGTGGTATCAGATGTTTGCTACTATATATGAGCAAACATGATCTAAAACCTGAGAATGCAGAGGTCTTAAAGCTCCTTGCAACTTAGGTGACACAGGTTTATCTTCCAATGTTTTTTAAAATTTAAGTAAATCATGGCATTAAATATGGTTCTAATCATCTTTTAAAGCTAATTCGACTTTGGCAGAAGCAAGATGATAAGGTTAAAGAAGTCTCTAAACCTTATCTAAAAAGTTAATCCTGGTGGGCTCATCCGATAAATTTACTTGTTGCACTTCTCTGTTCTGATAACTCAGAACAAAGGTCATTTGCAGTCGACATTATATTAGAATAATAGAAGTCAGGACCGGATGTGAACATGGCTCTACGGATGTGAGACCTTTTAAAGTTCCACAAATTATAAACATTTTTTTTTTTTTTTATGTTGATTTTAGGTGCCCCAAGAAGTCCTTACGGTCTTATCACAGAGCACCGCGGAAAAGCATTTAATGGGAAATTCACGCCTCCTTCCCAACCGATGTCGCAAAATTTGCCTAGAGGTGGGGTTTGAACCACGGATCTTACGTTTCTAAGGCAAGTGTGCTACTACTGCGCCACGGCTGCTTGATGCTTTGGTAATCAAACCTTGATGCTTTGGAAATCAAAGAACTTATTGATTGGAAAAAAGAAATTATTACTGAACCAGTTTTCACAGCAAATTTGTCTTTAGCCCAACTCAATGCATTGAGAGTTTCTCCCTTTATATACGTTGCATACCCAATGTTGTGAGAGGGCAGTCAAATTAGTTACCGAAACTGTCTGTGGTTGGGATAAAAGAGATGCTTTTGTACGAACTCAATTGCGAAATCGAGAAAAAATGCTAGTGATGAAATCAAAAAGACTTTGTTTAGTTTTCATACAGAATGATTATATATATATATATATATATATATATATATATATATATATATATATATATATATATATATATATATATATATATATATATATATATATATATATATATATATATATATATATATATATGTAGTTAGTAACAGTTTTTTATTATTAATTTGATATTATTTGGTTAATATTACTGCATTTGTTACTTGGTTGCTTTATTTTCAAGCTTGTTAAAATTTATAAGTTTTTTTTTATTAATTCTTTAAAATTCTTTTTGCAATTATGGCATTCCCACTATTTAAATAAAGGTTTGTGTTTTTTAAGGTGGGGGGGGGGGGTGAAAACAATTCTAGTCTCTTTGGTAAACTTTAAAAAACTTTTGAATACATTATATGTTTTTAAAAAATAATAGTAATATATCTTGATAATTATAATAAAATAATCAAATATTTACAGGGGGGCGGCCAGGACCCCTCACTGTTTTTATGCATGCCTGGCAGAGTAATCTTGGGGGGTCAATGATAATTTAATCTGTTATATTACTTGTAGTTAATTTTTACTTTGTAAAATTTTACTTTGTATTAATATTTGTCTAAAACATTTTAAAAATTAAACCCTAATTTAATAAGATTTATTTTAAATAAAACCGTACTTTTAAAATTTGTTTCCTGGTAGCTAAACATTAATATTTTACAAAAATAATATTAAAATTGAATTTCCCATACCCAAATATATAGGAATCCAAGCGTGCTAGTCAAAATTTTGAAAATTTAAATTTTCACTGAAGTATGATATACCCTATTGCACATGTAAATTGGTGATTTCAAGTATTTAAAAATATCTAATAAAATGGTTATGAATTCAGGGAATCCCCCCCCCCCCCCATTTAAAATGTTTGTTTAGTACCTTGGTTTTGATTATTAAAATTATAATTCATTTATTTCTAATAACTAGCAGAACAAAAAGATATTTAAACACATAAAAATAACTTTTCAAATAAGCGGTCTTACTAAATAACTTTAAACTTCTAGTACTAGGAAACTCATTTATATATATAACTCTTATTATAAAAATAACAAAACCATAATAAAATAGATTAAAAATTTAGTTTTTTAAAAACCTTTACAACTTACATGTCCATCTTTTTATTTTTAATTTTAAAATCACTACAATCAAAATGTACTTTATTTCATATCACTGTAACTTTCCGCATCAAAGCTATCATCTGCTCGGTTACGTTCCTGTGCAAGCTTACCGTATCCTCCTCTACCAGGATCATAGTCATTTCTGTATTCATCTCTCACTTGCCCCCCACTTCTGCCTCGACCATATTGACGACCTTCTTCAAATCCTGCATCCCAATCACTTCGAACAATCCGATCTTCTAATCTTGTTCCATTAATATATCTGATAGCATTTTCAGCACCTTCACGGAAATAATATTCTACAAAACAAAATCCACAAGGTGTCTTTTTAATTCTATCTAGTCCCATAATTATGCGTTTGATGTCGCCGCTTTTAGAGAATAGTTCATAAATTTGTTCTTCTGATGTATAAAACGAAAGATTACCGACATATAAAGTTGTACTTGTTTCTAATTTTTTTTCTAAATCTGCGCGCGTTCCTTTAAAGTGTTGATCTCTATAAGCACTAAGTCCAGCTGCCATTTTTTTTTCTAAATTAAAAACATAAGGTAAAAGGATTCTTATATTACAAACATAATCTTATCCATTAAATTATTTTTTTATTATATTTAAATCCTCAAGGATATCTTGAGGATTTGAATATAATAAAAAAATCTCATACAGACATGGTCTTACGAAACAAACTTTGTGGTAAAAATTATTAAAAGTTCACTAGTATACTTTGTTAGTCCTGTACAAAAACGCCAAAACTTAAAAAAAAAGATATTTAAAATGTTATCTCTTGATAAGAAAGGTTTTCATAAGTAAATTATTATAAAAAGTAGAATTACAAATTTCGTAAAAATTGAATAAAAAAACCCAACTAACTAACGTAAAACCATCAACGTAAACATTAAAATTGACAAAATTAAAGTTTAAACTAAAATTTGAACATTATATATATATATATATATATATATATATATATATATATATATATATATATATATATACATATTTATATATATATATATATATATATATATATATATATATATATATATACATATACTTGAGGAGATCTTTTATTTATTCTATAACACTTATATAAAACTTTACTTACCTAAGTATTTAGTAAAAAAATATAAAGACAATTTTTTGTTTTTAGGACAGTCTGATTATACAGTATTTTTGCAAAAACCAGACAAATAAAATAGCAACTGTTACAAAAAATAAACTGTAATTTCTAATATAACTAAAACACAGTAACTTTAACATTAATAAAACAACTTATTATTTAGAGTAGAAAATAAAAATTATCTTAGATTAGAGACTAGTACTTATCTTATATTATCTTACATTAGTAAGTTATCTTACATTAATAAGTTTTCTTGAAAAGATAAGTTTATGTGCGTGTGCATAATGTATGTAAATTAAAAAGCCAACTTTAATCTAGACAGTTTTTTCAGAAAAAGAAAAAGAAGAATATCAATACAAATTTAGGTCTGCTTGTTTGTCATAAATACCAATATATGAAAAGAGAGAAGCTTCTATTTATATACAAACTGATGAGTATGCAGGTAGTGTAAATCTCTGAGACATTTTTTTTTAATTATGCTGAAGAACTTATAAAAAAAAGGAAAAAAAAATTTTTTTCTTTAAAATTTTTTTTTTTTAATTTTGCACACTTTGATGCTCACATAAATTATGCTATATATGCTATCAAAATGCAGCAAGAACACTTTTATAACAACTTTGATACTTATGAAATGGTTTTAATAAATTATAACAATCAACCCTTTGCTACTATGCAATATTTGCAAGAGTACTATTATTTTATGGAAAAACCATATGTAGGAACTACTCCAGCCCTCCGAATTAGGGTTAGCATTTGGCTATGCCTACCTAAAAGTGTTTGAGGTTACCAAGCTTATTTCTTTGTGTTATGGTTACCCTTTTGTGTCAATTTTTTTTTTGCAGACCTGATGCAGACCTCTATTAGTTTAAGGTTAGCAATTTATTACAGACCTCATTTTTCTTATTTCCAATGGCTGAATTCCTCACTCCCATTAAATAGTGATTTAATTGTGATTGTATTATCATTTCCAAATGATATTTTTTTTATTTCCAATTTTTCTTATTTCCAATTTTCTATAATCCAATTTTCTATAATTCAATTTTCTATATTCCAATTTTCTATATTCCAAATTTTTTTTTACAGACCTGATGCTGACCTCTATTAGTTTAAGGTTGGCAATTTATTACAGACCTCATTTTTCTTATTTCCAATGGCTGAATTCCTCACTCCCATTAAATAGTGATTTAATTGTGATTGTATTATCATTTCCTCATTTTTCTTATTTCCAATGGCTGAATTCCTCACTCCCATTAAATAGTGATTTAACTGTGATTGTATTATTATTTCCAAATGGCTTTTCCAAAACAAGAGTTTTGGAACAACCATCCGAAAAAAAACAAAAAAAAAACATATAAATTTATGTAATCAGTGCTTTTAATCCATTGACTTATTAAGAGGTCATACTTGTACAAAACTTTTTGGTTTAACAAACCTTTTTTAGTTGATTGAAAATTCCCTGAACCAAGAAGTTAATGTTAACAAATTATTTGTTGATAGAGGTGAAGGTTCCTTTAAGCCAGGGATTGGTACTGTTGATGTCGCAAGTTACTTCAGTGATAATATCACACCAAGTAATCAAACTATACAAAAAGCATTCCTCCCAACCATGGTATAGATTGGCTTTTTTCTACAGGAGATAAACAAACTTTTGGATCCATTAGGCAGTAAAATCTTGCTTGGAAACAAGGATGTAATTCTGACTCACCACTCGAAGAATTTTATAACTTTAGAATCAACTTTTGCCAAGAGATGATTAAACTGAAGTTATGAAAATATGCATTATACCTGAACTTCATCTATACAAGAACAATTAATCTAGTGGAATGAATTAGCAAGATAAGGATAAGAAAAATGGGGAATCTTCCTCAAAAGAGAGTTTGAAGGAAAAAGATTGATGAGATTAACAAACAGTTCTTCATGAAAATTTGAGGCGATTTTGTGATGCCTTAGGTGCATTTGATACAGTGACTTACTCGTGCTTTAGCAAAATACTCAATATAGATTTTTAAAAAAAGTGTATAATTTTCTTGATTTTTTAAATTGTTTTAGATATCAAAAGCAAAGTGATTTCCGAGTGAAAGAAGCATACAAAAAAGATTGTGACATTCTTTCATACAACAAAGAGAGAATTTTAGACTTTATTATGTTTAGCCTGTGTCCACTTAGTTTATTAGCTGTCCTTTTTTATTTTGATTATGATTTTAATAAGTTCTACTACAGTTTATTCAAAAAAGTTTGTTTTTCTGTAAATGTTAATGAGTATTTCTGTAAAATGTTAAACTATAATCATACCTTGGAAGGGAAATTCAATGTGCATGTGCACTTTTTTAAAACATAATTACTGTTATGTATCATGGTGATAAAAATACATGAAAATACAACATTGTTGATAAAAATACATGAAAATATTGGTTGAGGGATTAGCTTTTTGATAAATTAGAACATAAAATTTTAAAAAACCTGGATAAATTATAAGGGATAAGTTTTGCATATATGTATTTGGATAAATCATAAGGGATAGTTTTGCATATATGTATTTACAATATAGAAAATAGAAAATCAAACTTTATGCAAAAATACTTGAGATTACAATATAATCACCAGCTTTATAAACAATTTTTAACAGAACTATCAAATTTTAGTTTGTTATTTTTTAAAGTAATTTTGGATGAAACTTTATGCAAAAGTTTTAAAAAATATAAAAATACAAGCAAAAAAAATTATAAAAATACAAGTATATATATATATATATATATATATATATATATATATATATATATATATATATATATATATATATATATATATATATATATATATATATATATATATATATATATTTATTTATTTTTTAATTGATTGTAATCTTAAACGTAAATCACAAATTTGCAAATTCTTATATAACTGAAATCTTTTATATATAATCTGTTTGTTTTTTATCATAATTTTTTCTCTTTGTCTGGAAATCTGTCTATATTAAAGAGGATGTTTTAAAACTGTGCAAAATATATGGTCACACATAAATTTGCTAAAGTATATATATACATGTGTATGTGTGTGTGTGTGTGTGTGTGTGTGTGTGTGTGTGTGTGTGTGTGTGTGTGTGTGTGTGTGTGTGTGTGTGTGTGTGTGTGTAAATACACACACAGACAAACAAAAGTAAGAAAAATGGCAAGCACTTTAACTTACATGACCATAGTATAGAAAATATTTGCAATCCTTAGTACTCATATATGATATATATATATATATATATATGAGGTGGATTCATATCTTTGAACTAGTAAATAAAGATATAACATATAATACAATAATAAAAATAATAATTAACACTGAATAACTGAGTTTCTCAACTCTCAAATGCAAATCATAATCCAAGCTTTAATAAAAATTAATATTAAATTTAACTGTTAAACTATTTATCACAAGATAAGCTGCAGAAGCCACCACCACATTAGGGTAGTTTATTCATTGCACAATGAATTTAATATAAGAACTGGATCATAAAGCTTGCTGTTACCCAAAATGCATTTTGATAATCATTGGATTTAAAATTTCACTATCTCTAAATAAAAAAAATGTTTTACATATAAAATTTTTACATTGAAAAAATAAAACATTAAAAACTTATGATAATAATTTGTATCAAAGATCAAGATAGAAAATAAAAGATTTGCATTAGAGATTAACTCTGTTTTGTAGAAGGCCTCCTAGGCAAAGACTTAAGGGGTAAACAGATTCTATCTGTTGACCAGCCTCACACCCCTTCTTCATCTATTAGGCTAGCACAGATGTATTGTTAATACATTGTTTCCAGTTTAGGATGTTGAATGCTAGATCTTCTTGACTCGATGCATGGGTTTTGCTTGTGTCTCTGTTTTTATGACTAGATACTTATTCTATTATCTCTTAATGAGGGTACAGCTCTAAAACTCAGTTTTATGGTTCTGAGGTTGGCTGGTAGTCAGGTTTACCAAACTCTGTGGTAGCTCTCAGAGAGGCTGATTCCATCAACAGCTGAAAATTATCAAAGTATTAACAGTGCCATGTTGCGCATGGATGGTGTCCCTATTTGCCAATTAATAAAGCCTAAGTCATAACAAAGGGCTCCAATGAGGCCAAGGCCACATTGGAGCCCTTTGTTATGGTTTAGGGTTTTGTAATAGTAATAAGGCAATTACTTGGACTATTAAACAGTGTACTGAGTACTATCTATGCTTCGAGTCAAGTTCTTTAACAAATTTAACAAAGAATAAAGTACCAAAATCTATAAAACACAAAAAACTATTGTCATCACCAAGTTCTTTAAACCTATCATTCACAAATATTTATGGTCTACAACAAACAACTATTATTATTATTATTACTACTATAATTACTATTATTACTACTGTTATGTAGTAATAATAGTAATTATAAGTTATATAACTTATATCATTATTTTTATTATTGCTACTGTAATTATTGTCATTATTATTTTTATTATTATTATTTTAAAATAATTACAGTATTATTATACATAAAGACCTAGATCTTTATGTGTAATCAGTTTATAACTGCTTGTAAACGTTCCTCATTATTGCTTAATATATAGGCAATTATTAAAAGCAAAAATATATTGATTGAATTTAAACCTATGGTATTAAATGAATCTATGATATCAAACATTTATCTTATTCTATTGATTTTATTGATGGATATTTATCGATTTTGTTGATAAATAACTAAAAATTGATTGAATAAATTGTTTTAAATAATGGTTTATCAACATAAAGTAACAGTTTCAGTATGCACTACTTTGTTTGAGAAACTACACACAGAAACAATGCTCTCTATATTATTTGTCCAAAATAATTTCTTTTACAAACTGCAAGTGATCATAAATAAGTCCTGTTTTTATCTAAACACTTTTGATAATTACCTCCTAATCCTATAACTCATAGGGGTAGGAGGTAATTATCAATAGTATTTAGATATCTAAAAAGTTCTAATACTCACTTGAATATTATACTATAAGATATCTAGATATATTAAAGTATAAGATTCAAATGAGTATTAGAATTTTTTTTAGAGCATCTAATTAAATTTGTACTAATTAAATAAATGAAAGAAATTGCTGTAAAATGACTCTTAAATTAAGATCTTTTAGATAAAAATGACCTGAGAAATACTTTAAGGTTTAAAGAATTTCTCAAGTCATGATCAATGTTTTCTAGATGGACCTACTCATCTCAAAATATAACAAAATAAATAAAAGTTATACTTTGAGATCAGTGGTCAACACCTTTGACCTTTAAAAGACAGTATTTTTAAAATAAAATCTTTATTAAGTAAAATTTAAATAATTTATTTTTATTATTATAATAAATATAAATTCATTTAAAATAAAACCTTTATAAAACATCATATAGATGCCGTACAAAATGTACGACACTTCATAGACGTATTAACTAAAAGTCGTCCATTAATTACGTCACGCTAGAAGGGGGAGGAGGGTTCGTGGTTTTGTGACGACTCATACAAAACTTGCTACGATTTTGTGACGATATGGGAGGGGATGTTGAGGTCAAAAACGGTCGAAAATTGCGTGACGTAATTTATGGATGACCGCTAAGACGTTCAACAAATGTTCTGTGTTGGTATTGAATGTTTGTGCTCTTCGGTTATCGTAGTGAAACACAATTGAAAGGCTATGTGGAACAAAGGTGTTATCTGATAAAACAAAAAATCAACTTTTTTTGTATTTACATTTAAATTAATAACCTTATCTTTTAATGATAATAAGGGATCTTCTATAAAATAACTACGCAGGTATTAGGGAGGGGGAGATAGTTATTCAAAAAGGTACGGTTGCATGCAAGAGATTGAAGGGTTTAATACAGTGCGTCGCGGTTAACTTTTTTTTTTTTTTTATTTATCGTTATTTTTCTAATTCTTTTTTTTTCATTCATTCAGTGATTAAAAAAAAAAATAGTAATAAAATAAATCTATTTTTAGTTTGATAAAGAGGTGCTACACCAAGCCCCTCTAAAAACTGGCAAGTTCGAGTTGACGTGTGATTTTAAATTGCTAGATAAGGTCTGCTATATTACGACGTTCTTCAAGGGTTGTTAGACCAAGCTGTTGGAGTCAATTTTTATAGGACAGGTGTTTAATAGATAATATTGTTTTTGTTGCTCGATGTTGGACTTTCTCGACGATGTTTGACTTGCTCGATGTCGGACTTTAAATGTGGCGAACATATGATACAGTGTGCCCTAGTCGCTCTAGCATTCTATTCGCTTTTGATGTGGATGCGAAATTTTAAAAATAAGAAATTTATATAAACACGGTCTTTCGTTTTTGTTTTTTGTCATTTTACATTCATATTTATTAATGGTTCAAGTTACATTTTATTACAACGTTATATGGTTCTAGCAACAAGATTAGATCTTCTTTCAGATACCAAGTTTTTATTTAAACTAGTCTATTTTTTTTTTTTTTGTTTGTTTTTTGTTTTTTTTTCTTATTGATATGGTGATAATTCTTTATTGTAATTTATTAAAAGTAATTTATTAATATTTGTAGGGGAAGGTTGCGTATGTTGAGCATGTTAACAGTGTATTGTTTTTTTGCAGCCGAAATATTATAATTATTATATTTATTTTTGCAGGTTATCGTAATTTATTCTTTCTTCTTAAAGAATATAAACGAATAGTTTATTAAAAAAAAAACTTTATGCCAAAAATTACGTTATTTTCAACACACCCAATCATCTCAATTTTCAACACACCCAATCATCTTAGGAAACCAGTTTTCTAAGATGAGCTTTTTTTAATGGAACTCAAAAAAACTCAAAATAATCGCACAAAAAAATAAATAAAATTGTATCTTCAAGAACTATACTTAAGTAAAAAGTAATTATCTCAACCACAAAAAAAATAATAATAATAATAAATCTTTTCTATCTCTAAAATAGTTAACGATATTATTTTTTGAAAAACCTTTCACTCTTGAAATACTAAAATAAAGCTTCGCGGAGAAAAACTTTAGAAAAACGCACTTTTCCTAATAAAAATCCGCATCTCATCTTGACCGTGAAAAAACAAATCATCCTAAGCAACGTATCATCTTAAACAACTTCACCAAGTACTATGATAATTTAAATAGTATGACAACAGCTAAAGTCTTGTCTCATCTGACCCATGTAATTAGCAGTAAATAAGCATATAATATTAAGGATGTAATAAATTTTCGATGATCTTGTGTTTCGATGTAACGTAATTACAAAATATTGAATAATATAGAGTTATAACGGGGGTGGTAACATTTTTTAACAGTAAAACAATCAAAGAATGACAACTATACAACCAAGAAATTAAAATAAATATCACCGTCGAACTTGTATGAATATCCATAACCAAAAAAGCTCGCGAAAAATCATTAGTCTACCCGCAAAAGAGGTTATACCATCTTAGGAACCTGCTCATCTTACGCAACCTTCTCCTAAATGGAAAACTTTATATTAAAAAAAAATGTTTAATAATATATACACAAAATGTATGTATGTGTGCATATATATATATATATATATATATATATATATATATATATATATATATATATATATATATATATATATATATATATATATATATATATATATATATATATATATATATATATATATATATATATATGTATATATGTAAGTGTGTGCGTGTATGTATTTATATATGTATGTGTATTCATATAAATAAAAAATAAATTGGTCAAAACAGTAATTTTTCAGTATCTACGTTTTCTCTGCTTGTCAAAAACAAAATTTGAGATAAATTTATTATAACTGGAGAAAAAGAGTATTAATTTATTAAAACAGAAGAACATAATTTAAGATGATTTAAAAAAGAAAAATAATATTAAGTTATTATAACTGAAAATTTGAATAAATTTATAACAGCCGAAAAAACTGAGAAATCCAAAACAAAACTTAATTAATACTATTAATAATAGATGATGCTGATGTTTAAAAAATATTTTTATGCTTAAATCATACACAATACTCGCAAAAAAACAATAGAAGTTAATTAAACAAAAAACTCAAAATGCTTAAAAAACTCGATCATTACACACAATACTCAAAACATATAAAAACTCAAAATACAATAACACGCAACTGGGGTGTGTAAGCATTTTTGGTCTTCAAGATATCTAACTTCCGGAAATAAAACAAACTCTAAACATTTATATTTATACTTATGTCAAATAAGGATGCTTTGCAAAAAATTGCGATGATTGGAGCCTGGGAACTAAAACGCCCCAAAATTATATCCCCCTCCCTCGCCCCAAAGATGAGAGCAACAAGTTAATGAAATACTTTTTGAACTATTTTCAACTAGACTTATATTCAGAATAGAAGTAACTTAAATGGATCCATTTATTAAAATTAAACAATTCCGTTAATAGCAATTATTAGACACTTAATTTCTACAAGAAAACATTTCATGAATGAACGCAACAAATTTTGAAGGTCTAAAGAACATTATTATTTTTTTTTTTAAATTTTGCCGTTTAAAAATATTACAATAACCGAATATATTTTACAATTTTTATATTGGTACCGACAGGACTTTTAGAAGATCATGAGGATCTTGTCATGAAGTCCTTTACAATATATGGTTAATTTTTAATAAAAATACAATGTCTCTAGTGAAAAAATAATAACTTTTAGGCAAAAAACATTTAAAAACCAAGATAAAATGTTAAACCAAATAGTATACAAAATAAAACAACAACAAACAAAACAAAAAACGCAATAAAAAAAAAATCAAGATATTTTCAATTAAAAATATAATTTTTTAAAGTCTTTGTTTGAATGAAGTAAAAGTCAGTTGAGTAGAAAAATCAAAATTTGGTAAGACTATTTTGTTCCAGAGATAAGGATCTCGATAAGAAACAAAAAATTGGTTTTTGCTTTTACGGCAAAAAGGGGCAATAAGATTGTTATTAATTCGAAGATTATATTTATTTTTAGGTTTCATACAACAAAGATTTTGTAATACATATGGCGACAAATTTTCTCTACATTTAAACATGAAACATAAAATATTAAAGAAATTTAGTTGACATATATTTAAAATACTCATTTCTTTAAAAAGTTGTTTATTATGAAAAAATCGATTTTTATGATGAATATGATGCGCATTTTATGATGAATATTTGAATAGATGATGAATATTTACCATCATCAGTTACAGATCGTGTTGCTCCAAATGTAGTAAACACAATTCTTGTGGAACCTGACATGACTGTAGCACATGTTGATGGCATGGAGTCTGAAATGCCTGTAGTACATCAGGAAACAAGTTTTTCGAACAAAGTGTCACCAAGCATTGCTTCATTAATCTCATCTGAAGTTTTGAAACCTTACCCAAAAGCATCTGCTAGAAAAAGAAGTGTTAAAATTAGGCAATTAAAAACAAGGACTTTGACTGATACTCTAATCAGAAATGAAATTCGTTTGTCAGAAGAAAAGAAAACCCTAAAACAAATCAACCAACAAAAGAAACTTATGACAAAAGATAAAAAAAGGGGAAAAGTTAAAAACTACTTGCTTAGGAACAAAAAATAATGTAATGTAAAAGCAGCATCACGACTTGACTTTGACAAAGGATGATAATATAAAAAAATAATCTTGTAAACTTTAGTTCTAATAAAAGTCTTGTATGAATCTTGTATTTTCTTTGTAAACTTAAAATACTGTATTCTTATAGACTTTATAAGCTTCAAGTTTTGTAAAACTTAACACATATATATGTTAGTAGTATATAACGGGCTTATTTTCATAGATAGAATTGTGGTTATTCTTCTAATGTAAACTTTATTTACTGGTGTGTATTAGGTTGTAATGATATGTATGTATATATATATATATATATATATATATATATATATATATATATATATATATATATATATATATATATATATATATATATATATATATATATATACACATATATATGTTTTAAATTTTACTTTTTTTTTTAAATTTATTATATAATATACACTAATAACCTTCAACTAATGCATTTGTAGCACTTAGGTATAGCAGTATTAAACATGTAAATAATGTTACTCATATAAGATCAAAGCGCCCCGTATCGGAGATCATAGTACCCCATTGCATGGGGTACATTGATCTTTTGCAAGGGTTGTTGTAATGTTGAAATATACCATGTTCATTAATGTTTTTTATTAAAACCTTTATTTTTACTTAAAGACAGATTGTTCTAGTTTAGCTTAGTAATTAATAAGTTTTAATATCTAGATCGGGTTGTTTGCAGTTTTCAAAATACTGCAACGGGAATCAATGCGCCCCCATCTTCCCTACTTGAAATTTGCATTTAAACTTCAAAGTAGCCTCAAAATAACTGAATAGTGAAATAGTGTTTTATTTTGTCCGTCATGCTCCCCTGATGTAGAACTGTTAAATCAGGTCAGAATGACGCACAGTTGATTTCAGAATTTCATGAAATTATTCTTCTTCCAAAAATTTGTCTTAAGACTTCCATTGTTAGGCAAGATGTACGGGCAGTACAGGGCCGACGACACGGGTTTTAATGTGGGGGAGGGGGCACCACCGTCAATTCTTAAAAAAAGTCTTTAAAAAAATTATCTAGAATTTTTCTTTTTTTAAACAAAAAAAAAAAAAAAAAAAATGTCCTTTAGAAAAAAAAGTGGGGGCACGTGCCCCCTGACCCACCCGGTGTCGTCGGCTCTGCAGTTAAACCATCTTTATGCCACCATATCTCTAATGTGTCCTCGAGCCCAGGACGCACGAAATTCTCTAGCATTTCTAAATACTTTTAACTATTAACAGTTAGTGTGTTTTCTGCATCATCTTCAAAGAAATAAGGTCCTAGAACTCTTTCCACATATACACCACACGACGACGTTGCTCCGTGACGAATCAGTATAAAAAGTAGAAAAATCAAAGAACAGTCAACCAACAACGTTGATGGACTGTTTTTGGATCTTCTGTACTCCAAAACTGGATATTTTGTCTATTAACATAACCGTTAAGGTGAAAGTTAGTCTCATAGCCCTATTTTTCAGATAAAATTAGATTATTTTAAGACATTGTTCGGTCATGAATTTCTCCATATTTACAAGGATTACACTTTAAGGTGGTACTCCAAGAAATAAAAGTAAATGTTGCAAAAAATATATTTTCTATCAAACTCTTTTTGGTATTATGCTTATAATATGTTCCGATTTTTATGTTAAAATGACTGGTAAACTTTGAGTTACCATTTCACAAAAATTTGCTTTTTTTTACTTTTTAAATGGGTAATTGAAGCAAGGATTTTCAAGTAAGAAAATATTTAAAAACCTTTTTTTAATGATATATCTTTTAAAAATGAAGTATAGTGCCGATAAAATTTTTTTAATATTTATTGGAGTAGATAGTAAATGTTACCTTAATAATCTAAAATTAAAAAAGGACCACCATGTGTAATGACTTTGCATGTTTTATAGTCTCAAAATATATAGTATCAAAATATTGGGAAAATATTTTAAATACTGAAAATTGCATTATAACATTTAAAAAATTTTTTGTGTATAATTTGAGGATTTCAAATAAACTTCAAACTTTATTATCTCAAAATAATGATTAGGTGGCATACAGTGTTAATACCCCAAGTCCTTTAACTATTTTAGGCCGCTTAACTGTTATCTAAACTACCGTATTATGTAAAAAACAATGAAATTTTGGGAAATATTTTATTGAAAACATTGCTTAAATAATTAACTTAAAAATTAAATAAAGTTAAAAATTGTAGAAGTATAAATATAAAAACATAAAAACATATTAACAAATAAACAGAAAAAAAGAAACTTATTTTAAGACAAAATTTGAGATTTTTTTTTCAATTTGAATTACGTCCTTATCTAAACTATATATTTATAAAAAACAAAACAAGAAAAACCTTGAGAAATATTTTATTGAAAACATTTCTTAAATAAACTTAAAAATCAAATGAAGTTAAAAAAAAATTACATAATTTTATAAATATAAAAGCATAAAAAAACAAATGGACTTCGAGATAATTATTTAAAAAACAAAACAAGAAAAACCTTGACAAATATTTTATTGCAAACATTTCTTAAATAAACTTAAAAATCAAATGAGGTTAAAAAAAAATTACATAATTTTATAAATATAAAAGCATAAAAAAACAAACGGACCTCGAGAGAACTCCATAAAATGGTAAAACTACTTTAGTTAACAATTTATGTATGAAATATTATGTTGCTTTTGTTTCTACAGTTGGAGTTGACGTCGCAATCTTCTTTTCTGTTTATGTAAAAAAAAAAAATTTCTTTAAAACATAATAATTTGTATAAATATTAGAAAAGTATATAATATTTAATTAGAAATATATAATGGAGTATACAGGGGCGGTTCCAGCATAATTAAATTTTAAACATGTAGCAAACATTTATATGTTTATACTTATATCAAATAAGGATGTCTTGCAAAAAAATTGCGACAATTGGAAGCAGGAAACAAAAAAGCCCCAAAATTTGCGATATTCCCAAAATTTGCGATACTCCAACCAAATGTGAAAGCAACAAGTTGATAAAATATTTTTTTTACTATTTTTAACTAAAATAATATTCATATACAAGTTTTAAGTTTTTATAGAAAAATGACCACAAAAATGTGACCCCCTCAAATTAGGGGTCTGGAAAAAAATTGGAAGTCTATATGAAAAAAAGGGGTATTTGAACTATACATGTTTATAATTGAATCTGTCATTTCGAAAAGGACACAAGAATTAATGAAAACTTTTCAAAATCAACAAAAACATGATTTTTATTAAAATGTCTACGCTGCTAGAGAAATTAAACATAGGAATAGTTAATAAAGAACGTATAAAACTTATGTAAGTTTTATTTTTTATAAAAAAAAAAACATAAATCATACATAAATTTTTAATTTAAATTTAACTAACTTTTACAAGTTTTGGACTTGTGTCCTTTTCGACACGACAGATTCAATTATTGAACGCTAAAAACTAAATTCTATGAAGTTTTAAATTCTATGAGGTTTAAAATTTATTGATGAATATTAATTTAGTTAAGAACAGTAAAAAAAAAATATTTTATCAACTTGTTGCTCTCACGTTTGGGGCAGTGGCGTCGCAAATTTTGGGGTTTTTATGTTCCTAGGTTACAATTATTACGGATTTTTGCAAAGCATCCTTATTTGACATAATTATAATCATTTAACTGTTTGAAGTTTACTCCATGTCTGAAAGTTATCTATCTATCTAGCAATCTCAAATATCAGAATAAGATCCGCCCCTGGTATACATAATTAAGTTGTGACCAAAATTAAAAACTGTAACTAACTAAACTAAAAAAATTAAAATTAATTGACAAACTTTTTAGTTTTATTTTGCGTATGTAATAATTATTGTTTGACTTCTATGTAATGATTGATTTTTATGTAATAATTATTGATTGTCTTTTATGCAATGATTGATTAAAAAAAAAAATTTAAACAAATAATTGAAATAGTCAGATTTAAAAAAGGTCTGACTTTGTAATAATTGTTTATTTTATTTTACATTATTTTATTGTAATATAAAATTATTTTATTATTTTATTTTAATATTATTTAAACTTTTCATCATTATTTTTTAATGGCTTTCTTATTGATTGTAATTATAAAAATATTTTTAAATATTTTGTTTACACCCAACATATGAGAGCATATTATGGACAATAGGGCAATAGAGTTTTCAAAATAGGATGACAAATGCTATGTTCTAGCAGACAAGAGAACAAGATTTAAATATCCCTTTGTTAAGTAATACAATAAAAAAGCTGCAAAATTATGAAATGAAATTGAAAAAAGAATCTTTATAAAAAATATTTAGGATTACACCAATAAGATACGACAACTAAGAAGAAAAACTCTGTAACTTTATTATTTAGAATTAATTAAACTTTCACGTTTTAAAAAATATATAAACACCAAAATTGCTAATTTTTAAAAGTTTTGGCCTCACATGAGAAATTGGTCTCTAGACACTTTTTCAGGGCTCAAAAGTTAAATAGAAGAAAAAAGATTATTATATACTTTTTCTACTAATTTATTTACTATGACCCAAAATGACCCAAAGCTACAACCCAAAGCTTCAATTCAAAATATATTCTTCAGAACATTGTACAAGTGATTCGACTGAGTTAGAGAATGATTAAATAATGTTTAAATATTGAATAGAATGATTTGGCTTCCTCAATCACCACATCATTCGATAAAAGTCTTATTGGGCTTTTACATGAAGAATAAATAGTAATGTCAAAAACTTAATGATTCGAAAGATTTAGAAAAAACTCATTAGTGAGTAGCATAAAACTGACTTAGACAAATTGGATAAGTGATTAAGTAGAATGCTAAGAGAATAATCTATATCTATAGAATAATATACATTTAGGGTGATTAAATAGGTAAATTTGATGGGACTTTATATAAATTTTAATGCAAACTTAATAAATAGGAAGATAACACATAATTCAGGTAGATTTTGTTTTCAGTTTTTCTCCCAACGGTAAGTACAAGTTTGGTATTTTATATTGGAAAGCTTGACCATTCAAATAATTATACACGGTATGTATGATCATTCAAATAATTATACACAGTACATGAGTGTGTGTGTTTATGTGTAAGAAAAAAAGAAAAAAAGAAATGGGAATAGTTTTGTGGAGAGATGAATCTAATACTTTTGGGTCTGACTTAATTAGTTTGCATACCATTATATAAAAAGTTTCACACAAAAAAACAACAACAATGTAATCTAGTGATCAAAGCATTATGGGAATGCTCCATTATCATCTGGTCCTATTCACTTAATAACAGATAATATGACAGCTGATATGTATGTTAATATACTTCAAGAAATAACGCTGAGAATAACATATTGACGTTTTACTGCTTCTATTTTAAAGTGATGGTTCCAAAAAAAATGGTATAGATAATTGAATTGGCCAGAACAACTCCTGGATTAAAAATCAATAGAAAATTTATGGAAAACTGAGAGAGATAAGAAAAACAAAAACCTTGGAACAAAAAAAGATTTGTGGGAGGTTGTAAAAGCATTATGGTATGCTATTCCATTATCAACATGCCAAAAAATTAGTCAACAGTTTGCCCTAAAAACTTATTTAAGTTAAAAAATAAAAAACATTTATCAAAATATAAATTAATTGTTGTAGATAATGTATGAAGTATTAAATAAACATTTTGCAAAAAAAAAAAAATGTTTGCTGTTATTTTATTGATTATTTTAAATATTTTTTATAAAAACAATAAACTTTTTAGATTTATCTCAATAATAAATCAAACTATTTAAGCATATATATATACAAGAATCAAGTGGAAAAAACGAATTTACAATTCAGAAGTATTAAGGAAGCTTATAAACCTGCTTAATTGCATTAAGCAGGTTTATAAGCTTAATTCTTTAATGATTATTTAATTATATAATTCTTTAATTACATCTAAAGCTATATAACTTTTTATTTAATTTTGCTTTATTTTGCTTCATTGAGTACCAGGTTGACATACTTTTGAAAACTTTTTTTTTTTTAATATTATAAGGAACCTGTCCAATATTTAAGGGTCCTGAGTCCCTAAGATTTTTTTTTCAAAAACTTTTAAAACCTAGTCTTTTAGTATTATATAGAACACATTTAGGAAGTGGGAGCAGTTTTTTTTGCAAAAATCTTGTTTTATAGGCAACCCTAATATATATATATATATATATATATATATATATATATATATATATATATATATATATATATATATATATATATATATATATATATATATATATATATATATATATATATATATATATATATATATATATATATATATAAACTACAAAACAACTACAGTCATTGTATGGTGTAATTTTTGTAAATATTTTATTTGTGGAATAAGAGAAAAAGATATATCATATCCATATATCGTTTATTTGGTTGACAATTTTTACTTTATTTATATTCGTTATTAAAAAGTTTATTTGTTCTATAATAAAAAGGAAAAGATAAGTTAAAAAACAAAAAATAAATAGCTGATTTTTTAAACCACTTGGATTGATAAGCACCCTTAAACAAGTTAACAGAAAAAATCCTTATCATTACTTATATGTTATTCAAATAAATCCACAAGACTTTAAGGGCTATTGTTAAACAGCGAGCTAACTGAGGTAGTGGTGTGGTGGTAGAGCGCTCGCTTCATAAACGAGTGGTTCCAAGTTCGATCCCCACCACGTCCTTGGTAGTACCGCGCTCAACTCGTTTTTCCGCGCAGCGGCCTTGTTTGTCAAGGTTTGTGTTTCGGAGTTATAGAGTTGAGAGAGGGTTATAACCACAAATAAGTAGCCTCCTTGTCTGTAGTGGCCTTCTCGGCCTTGAGGAGGTGAAGTAAAGTAAAAAAAAATTAAAAAAAAACTACAAGTTATTTCCTTTTTCTAAGATTACTGTGCTAAAATTATCTATCCATGATTGAAATGAGCCTGCAACTTGTGGTAATGTCAAATTTAATGAAAAAACCTAACAGAAAAAATGCCATCCTTTGCCCATCAACTTCTAGAGTTTTGAATGTTAAACCATTATTCTCAGTTTACTAAATCTTAACTCAGATGTTAGGTTCTAGAGACTTTTATAGGAAAATCTTCAAAAGTGTCAATAACTAAGTCTGACATTACTATTAGCTCAATTACTATCTATAACCAAGTTAGCTTAGACATTCTCTAATTCATGTGCCTGATCTTATTACTACTCCCCAGAATAAGGCAGAATTATTTGCAAAGAACTATGACTTGAGGCTTGAATTTAATGGCCATACTTCTCCTGCCTTTCTAGTTAAACAGGTTAATCCATTTTTAGACATCTAAATCACTCTGGCTTCCAATGCTAAAGCCATTAGACCTCTTCACAGTTATAACAATTTCATGCGCAAGCAAATAGTAAATCATGGTTCATAATATCGTATGAAAAATAGTAAATACACATATAAATTAAGCTAGTAACCTTGAAAAAAATAGTTTGTTTACCCAAGATTGTTTTTGTTTTTTCATAAAAACAAAAAATGATATAATATTAAAATTTTACCGGATTTGCTAACTTTTTGCCGGCTCCGGTAAAAAGCTAGCAAATATGGTAAAATTTTAGTCGGATTTCTGAATTTTGGTCAGACATTTATTATTATTTTTTTTTGCCCGTGTTCAAATGTATGCCTAATATTTTATTTATTCAAATAAATGTTCTTTGTAA